ATTGACCTAAAAACAATTAGCTCGAATTTATAAATATCATTATAAACGTGTCTGTTAGCACGCGACTTCTAGTTTGATAACATTTGGAACAAGAGTATTAGCCTAGGTTTATTCCTGCGATTTTGGGAACCAGCATGATCGGACTATGGGAACGGGGTTTTCCCATTTTTGACTCTCAAAACAAAACTTTGCAGTTGATTTCCAAACCATTTCTTAGAGCTTAAAAAAGAATAGTTTAGTTCATTGAAACGTTGTTGTATACTAAAATAGTTTCTTAGGAAAGCTCAAAATTTTTAAATTTAATATTTCATGTAATTATTTTGGAGACTAAATAAACTTTTATAGTTTGCCTGTTTATGAATAACATTGTATTGTGATCAAAATTGTCAATTTTTCATTTTATATTAATCTATTGACACTTTACTAAGAACATATTTTATTACCTTACCTGTGACAAAAAAATAATAACTAATTAAGGCTAATGTCAATGAAAAAGGGAGTATTTTGGTGTATATCATATCAGTTAAGAAATTCGCTTAGTTTGCAGGTTTGCTGCGTTGGGGGTGTTAATAACCCAGATTTCCTTTATAGCATACACAACTGTCCGGTTTCAAGTCCAATGGAACGAACTGAAATTCGTCTACCATTACATATCAGCCACTGACTTTAAGACCCCTCAAGGACTTTATGGACTGTTATGGAGATGACATAATCGAATGATCAATATTGACATAAGCTCTGGCTCCCTATATGTCAAATTGTCAGCAAAATTGGGCAATATTTAGTCAACGAAGACGAATGGTGAGAACCGTCTGCCTGGCGCTCTTATCATGAAGATAGCGTCACACTCCAAACATAGGAGCGTTGTGTGGTTGGAACTAACTTTGTGGTTGCACACTTAAATGGGCACAACAACGTAAACGCATATAATTAAATACTAATTTATTGAAATACGATACAAACCTGTTTGACTTATGAGTTGTCGGGAAAATTATAGAAATAACCAAAAACAACTTAAGTGTTTGTTTAACTTTTAATAGCTTAGAGCTTGGCATCTTCGATAAGCATAAACTGTTTATGCCATAGATTCAATTAAGCTGACGTAGGTACATTTGTTATACACTAAAAGTTGCAGATATTATCACAGACAAAGGAACAAGAGTTTCCTTATAGAAATACAACTTATTTCCTTTTCTGTGATATATTACGAGCATAGCGTTTGCATAGTGGCGGTAAAAACTCGATGTTTAAATACAAACTGCCATTATGATAAAGAATGTTAAATCAGATAGTGATAAAATTAAATACCCCCGTTGCAGCAAACCTGCATACTAAGCGAATTTCCATTTACCCGGCTTGATTTCTACTAAAATATTCCCATAAATTTTCAGATTTATTTCCTATTTAAATAACATTAATTTTAGTGAGTAGTTAGGTTTGCTGCTACGGGGAAGATGTTGAGGTGTGTTTTTTTTAAATTGAAATATTGATAGCTTAGTATGAAATAAACCAAATTGCCAAATTTGATTAAAATATATCCATAAACAAGCAAACTAGAACAGTTAATTTATTCTCCATAAGAATAACATGGGAATTTTAAATTTAAATTTTTTTAAATTTTCTCCGTAGTCAATGAACGTTCAAAAACACTTTAATATACTAAATTATTTGTTTTTTTAAGCTCTTCAAAATGGTCTAGAGAGAAATTTAGAAATTTATAGTTTTTAGGGTGAAAAATGAGAAAACCCCATTTTACCCCATAAAACCCCCCATAGACCCCTGATCCCATTGTCCGATTATGCTGGTTCGCGAACTCGTTCGAATAAATGTAGGTTTACACGTTTGTACCAAATTTCATCAAAATCGGATCAATTTTGCTCGAGTTATCGCGCTAACGGACACATATATAAATAAATATATATACAGGGTGGAACGAAGTTAGTGTTAAAAAATTGTATGTGTTAAACTACTAAGTATTGGTGACAAAATGGCACCAATTTAAGTTTCCATACCCTCACAGGTAGGGAATAACAGACAATTTAAGATTTTTTCAAAATATTTGTACTTACGTACATAAAATGGCCATAAGTGCATTAAACATTGTTTTTATTCCAAATTCATTGTTATTTTCAGAATCCTCCAATTTCCAATAGTAATAGTTCAAATTCATTGAGATTAAACCTCTGCATAAGCCCTTATTTGGCCATGGAAGTTTGAATTTGTGATTTTTTATAAAAAAGTAATAACTTTTTCCAAAGTTTTTCTATACTACACTGGACTGCAGAGAGTGTCAAATATTACTAAAAACTTCTGCAGTTAATAACCTTTAAAATGATGTATAAACATCTACTGTTCCTTTGATTTGTCGTTCTCAAATTTAAGAGTTTCTCATGAAAAACACGGAACGGCTAATGTTCAATTTCCTTTAAAATAACATGTATTGGCTTTTATGATATGGCAGCAGCTACTTTAAAAATCATGTTTAAATGGGTATTATTGCAATTTTCAGAATCATTGTAAAATTCCTAATAAGAATATTGAGAAATTGTTGGTAGTAACACTTTATGAACCTATGTTTTGTGATGAATTTTCATTTAGGGGGTTTTCTTCTTATTTATTGGAATAAATTAAATATCGTTTACCTGCACTAGGTCATCAATCTTACCACATTGACACCTATATTGACTGCGACAGTGAGGCATTGACTGTAGTGGATGTATTGACAGTTTAAAAAACATTCGTCTCCCGCTTGATTATACTTAGGTTCATTATGAATTGAACTGAATAAATAATACATAAATAAATACATGAATAAATACATTCAATTTGGATATAATTAAATGGGTAGAATAAGGCAGACGCTAGTCAGGTTTACCCCTTTTTACGTCTAAAAATCTTAGTATAACAGCTATTTGATGAATTTTCATTTAGGGGGTTTTCTTCTTACTTATTGGAATAAATTAAATATCGTTTACGGTGTTAGTTCTATGGCACATTATTCAACCGATGTGCGAGATTGATTTAAAGCAAAATACACAACTTGAATGATAATGATGGGTCATATGGTGTGGTTTGCTGGCATGCCAGGTCGCCAGACCTAAGTCCACTGGACTTGCTTTGTGTGTTATGTAGAGTACTTGGTCTACTCATCTTTATTGGAAGATAATCAGAAAATTAACTACTGGATAATGAATGCAGATGTGCTAGTCAGAGGAACGTTGTATTTTAATGTTACTGTTGGTGCCACGTGCAAAAAAAGCTTGGCTGTGTATCTGGGAAAATGGAGGAGATAAAAAAAAAAAAAAAAAAAAAAACTCAAGTAGTTGGCATCAAATAGAAGGCAACTATTAAAACCTCAAGGAAGTAAGGAACAGTTATTTAAGTTTCGAATATTGTGTGTTTTAGAATTAACTTTTAGTTTTTGTATAAATAACTAAAACTAAGTATTTTTGAGGTAGGTTAACGATTATTTTAGTTAAGAAATATATCACTTGACTGAGTTATTTCCATTAGCATGTGTCTAAGCACTACAATCAATTAATTGGTATATTATACTTAGGTTAATTTTCGGTTTTCGGTGAACATATTGACATCATAAAGTGTAGTATCTACATAATTTTATAGGCTACTCCATTGGAAGTATTTGCTTATGCTTAGAAACAAATCTGAAGTTAAATGTACCATGTGTAACTTTGAACAATATTCAATGTATACCAAAAATAAAAATAAAAATAATTTAACATGTTTTCACAAAACATACGTTTATATGGATGTAAATCCTAATAGACCCTTAATATTCTTACAATAAATCTCACAAGGATTCTAAAAATTACAATAGACCCTATCCAAATATAACTGTTATTGCAGCTATTGCCATATTATTTAAGCAAATACATGTTATTTTAAAGGAAATTGAACATTAGCCGTTCCGTGTTTTTCATGAGAAACTCTTAAATTTGAGAACGACAAATCAAAGGAACAGTAGATGTTTATACATCATTTTAAAGGTTATTAACTGCAGAAGTTTTTAGTAATATTTGACACTCTCTGCAGTCCAGTGTAGTATAGAAAAACTTTGGAAAAAGTTATTACTTTTTTATAAAAAATCACAAATTCAAACTTCCATGGCCAAATAAGGGCTTATACAGATGTTTAATCTCTATGAATTTGTACTATTACTATTGGAAATTTAACGAGGATTCTGAAAATGACAATGCATTTGGAATAAAAACAATGTTTAATGCACTTATGGCCATTTTATGTAAGTAAGTACAAATATTTTGAAAAAATCTTAAATTGTCTGTTATTCCCAACCTGTGAGGGTATGGAAACTTAAATTGGTGCCATTTTGTCACCAATACTTAGTAGTTTAACACATAAAATTTTTTAACACTAACTTCGTTCCACCCTGTATATATATATATATATATATATATATATATATGAATTTGAACGGATGGTGTTTTTGGCATCTGGGGACCTCAAAACGAAAAAGTAAATCGGTCCCGGGTCTAGGTCTTACCATGAGACCTACGGTAATAGCTTATTCCCTTTATGGGAAATTCGCTAAAACATAATGAAATCATTATTCAGGGTAATATAATGGGGTCTAGTGTGATCATTCTATCCGTACCAAACTATTTTAAAGTTTTCCCAAACGAGACGCCGATCATTGGGCTTTAAATAAATGATCCTGGCTAATGAAACAGCTGATCTTAGTCAGTAACAAAGCTACACAGATCATCACACACCATTCTACACTCATCCTTCACTCATATTTGGGTTAAAATACGCAGCTAAGTGGCGTCCCCATCTTAATGATTGATAATTGATAATTGACCCCAGTTAGTTCATACAGGATCGAGGACAGCTGAAAGCACTTTACCGACTACACCACTCCCATCTTAGTTTAATGAGGACCACCAACGACTGAATTTGAAGCCATGATTGGTTGGATTCGTAAGGAACCTTTTCCTTGCATATTTTCTGTACATTGTTTTTTAGGCAAAGTGACTGAGAATTTTCATCCACGTTTCTCCTTGTATGATAACTGTAATTGTGTACCTGTAGTCATCGCCGGTGTACATGTTGGCAGCAGTTCCATGACAGTTGGAGACTCGACCCTCTCGCTTCTTCAGCTGAGAGTTGGTCCAGAACTTGGGCGGCATCCTGTCTAGACCCAGCGATACGTAGAAGTCCTCAGCTCGCCGCACCATGTCCCACACTGAATAGTTCTTGGCGCGAAGACCAGCGTCCAGGTCCAGCCTCGTCGAATTGACCAACAGAGGAAGAACTGCGGACCACTCCTGAGCCCACATGTTGCCTAAAATATTACTACAATGAAGTAAATTTGACCGAAAACATGCAAACTTGGCTGATTCGCAATTTTTATTAAGATCGTTATAGGACATTGGTAAGTGATCATGGTGGGTCATGCTGTCTAAATGATTATTGCGGACACGTTGCGTCATTGAACATAATGTTTTAGGATGATTGTAGAATCTGGTCTCGTCTTAGTTGGGAAGAGACCTAGATCATAGCCAGGTTAGTACCTACAAATCAAATAATGCCGGAAACACAAAAGCTGAAACCAACAAATATTCAGGACAAATTAACAAGACCAATAAAAAAAAATATGAAAAAAGTCCAATCAGTCATGTACAATCGAAAATTCGAGTTCTCTGGACGTTCCGTTTGTGATAGCAGTGACGTTTTTGGCCCGAAAATAAACATGATTTAGTATTGCTTAAATGGAACTGCTAAAACATATGTTAATGCTATTAGTAAAGGATTCGGGTCAACAACGTCATTTGTTTATGTTTATGATCCATACCGGGTATTATTCTAGTATTCGTGCTACAGTGGAGCCTCGATAACAAGACCCTCGATAACAAGTCACCCTTGATAACAAGGGTCATTTTTAGATCCCCTAGAATTTATTTTACCCCTAATCACATCTTATTGCAAACCTTGATAAGGAGACAACCTTGATAACAAGTCTTATCCCCATGACGTACCGAAGACGTACCATGACGTACCATGAGACGTACCGAAAGTGGCATTTTGTGGCGCGCGCTCATGTTTTACGGTGAGTAAATACAACGAAGGAAAATCAGCTGATCATTTTTCCTCACTTTAGAGCCTGGGAAACATATACTTTCTTTGATATAAGTTGTTATCGACTTTTGGTACGGAGTGATGGAAAAATATGTCAATTCATTCTTGTTGTGTAATGAATCCGGTGCTACAGCAGCTATCTATATAATTGATTCGCCGACACGAAATTTGTCCTTTGAACTCCTCCGCCCTTTCTCAACCGATCGGGGCTCTGCCCCAGTGGCTTTTAAGGTTCCTATGCTATCCTTATGAAGAACATATTTGTTTTCAATATGATCAGGTAGATAATTTAGTTTCCGACTCCCAGCCTAAAGATATTTATCATTAGATCTCTTGTCTACCAAAGTATTGCCACAGACCAACCATTGTGTTAGCGATGCCAATAATTGTTTTACGCAAACAAGGCTAGCATTCTAACACAAAGCTTTCTTTTAAGTATAAACAACTTTGTTTTTGTTTATTGTATTTTTCCTCATAAGATGGTAAACAAACGTTTAAAAATAGCTATAAAAATATTTTCATACGATGGATGGAAACTCGATTCTTAATAGTATAGTAGTATTGAATAACTAAATTATATGTTTCCAACAAATTGGAAACTTTTTTCCCTCCACCATTTTAATCATGTACAAGGAGTTAATTTTCAATTGTATTGTATGAACTATTGTGTAAATTGTATGAACAATTTTATTTGGCGATTTTTCAAATAGTTGATTACCAAGAAGGTTTTCTGATCACCATGTCTTCTGGTTATATAGCTAATGTCCACGTTTCTAATACAGGGGAGAACGGACCAAATGAAAACAAAACGATCCTTAACTGAATTAGACCGAGAAGAGTCACAATAGATCGATGCACGCACCTGCTTCTGAACAACTACCCTATGAACGAATATTGGTAGTTAGGGCTACGTAAAGTTGACAAAACATAATTTATTTTTGTAAAAAAATACAACCGACTTCAAATGCTCTAAAAAGAATGAAATAATTTCAATAAAGTAAACTTTTGTATTAGTCAAGATCACGTATTTCAAGTCGGCGCGGCTCTATGATGATTTTTGATAAACAATTTAAAGAGGATGTCCACATTGCAGGTGACTATCTATAACTAAAGGTGATTATAATCTTATAGTGGTATTAACGAGTATCTTTAAAAAGATTATAATGTATTTACATATTTCTAACTTGGAAAAGTAACGTTTTAATTTTAAACTGTTATAGATTCTTTTCCCTATTATATTATCAAAATAAATAATTTTCCTATTCATATAGAACATTTGTGTGTGTTATTTTCATTATGCAATCATTCTGAAGTAAACATAAAATACAAGAAAATACTTCCTTTGATATACATAAACAAAACAGTTCAGTATGTTTTTTTATATATTCATGTTATCCAGCGACAATTTATTGATTTTCAAAATACACTCTCGATATCTTTTATTTTATTCATATTTTTGCAGTTAGAGCCGCGTCGACTTGAAATACGTGAGCTTGACTAATACAAAAGTTTACTTTATTGAAATTATTTCATTCTTTTTAGAGCATTTGAAGTCGGTTGTATTTTTTTACAAAAATAAATTATTTCATGATTTTTAGTGACTGTATAATTTGTTATATATTAATTACTTGAAGTTTTTTGATAAGCAAAACTGTTTGAAACAATCAAAAGTGCCACAGAACAATCATTATTTTTAAACTGCTTGAGTTACCTGTTCAGGTTACATAATCAATGGGTATTAAAAATTAACATTTTTGGATGTTCCAAAAAAAAAAAAAAAAAAAAAAAAAAAAAAAAAAAAAAAAAAAAAAAAAAAAAAACAATGAGTTGTTCATTACATTAGGCCTAATGAAAAACTAAATGTCTTTCCTTGAGACATTGAAATGCCAGACATCATCGTTTCCTGCAGTTGGCGTATTTCTACATTATAAAACGAAATACAGTAAGGTCCCAAGCCTTTTGGAACAATAAGAAAGTTATTCCTCAGCCACCAGCACTAAAAAATCTCTTAAAAGTAGAAAATAGGTTGTTATCACGTACCTTTGAAAAATACGTATATGATTGGTTCAGATAAAAGTGGTGTAAGGGGTAGGTGGTTTTGTTTGCTCAAGATGTAGTTGAAATTGCAAATCAGCTTCCCATTTCCGAAGCAGGCATAATTGAGCGGAGCGAGCGAAGCTCTTATACGTCGACTTTTATGCATTTCGTAATACGCAAACTCCTCCTAGACGGCTGAATCAATCGTTTTCAATTTTTGCGTGGTGATAAAGACCATACCGGTGAGTGCCAACATCTATATGGCGTTAAAAAAGTCTCTCAGGAATCCACCCCACTGGGTCTCAAAGTTTCAATGTAATCCTTGTGGAAGCAGTATTTGACACATAAACAAAGAAATATGATCAGCTGTTGACTTTTGAATGCAGTAGATAAATAAATAGCTGATAGCATTATATTATATTATATTAGCCACAGATATTAGAACATAAACGGTGGTATGGATCATAAATATAATCAAATGACGACACTAGCTTGAGGTCCGTGACGTAGGAAGTGGTGAAGGAAGTAGTAAAGGTGAGCAGTCTGGAGTGTGGAAACTGAATAAGACGATTAGATTTAGGTAGGTATCTGCATTCCTAAAATTTTATGGGAAGGGAGGAAAACGGGTCCGTGACGTAGGAAGTGGTGAAGGAAGTAGATTTAGGTAGGTATCTGCATTCCTAAAATTCTATGGGAAGGGAGGAAAACGGGTCCGTGACGTAGGAAGTGGTGAAGGAAGTAGTCAAGGCGAGCTGTCCGGAGTGTGGGAACTGTTTATGACGATTAGATTAAGGTATCTGCATTCCTAAAATTCTATGGGAACGGAGGGAAACAGGTCCGCGACGTAGGAAGTGGTGAAGGAAGTAGTCAAGGCGAGCTGTGCGGAGTGTGGGAACTGTTTATGACGATTAGATAAAGGTATCTGCATTCCTAAAATTCTATGGGAAGGGAGGGAAACAGGTTCGCGAAATAGGAAGTGGTGAAGGAAATAGTTAAGGTGAGCTGTTCGGAGTGTGGAAACTGTTTATGACTATTAGATTAAGGTATCTACAATCTTAAAATGCTATGGAAAGGGAGGAAAACAGGTCCGCGATGTACGAAGTGGTGAAGGAAGTAGTCAAGGCGAGCTGTCCGGAGTGTGGGAACTGTTTATGATGATTAGATTAAGGTATCTGCAATCCTTAAATCCTATGGAAAGGGAGGTTACAGGTCCGTGACGTAGGAAGTGATGAAGGAAGCAGTAAAGGCGAGTTTTTCGGAGTGTGTGAACTGTTTATGACGATTAGATTTAAGGTATCTGCAATCCTAAAATGCTATGGAAAGGGAGGGAAACAGGTCCGTGACGTAGGAAGTGGTGAAGGAAGTAGTAAAGGCGAGTTGTCCGGAGTGTGGGATCTGTTTATGACCAATAGATTAAGGTATTTGCAATCCAATAATGGGGAAGGGAGGTAAACAGGTCCGTGATGTAGGAAGAGATGAAGGAAGTACTGTAGTAAAGGCGACTAGGCGAGTTTTTCGGAGTGTGGGAACTGTTTATGACGATTAGATTAAGGTATCTTGGTATCTACAATCTTAAAATTCTATGGGAAGAGGGGAAAACAGGTCTGCGACGTAAGAAGAGGTGAAGGAGCCAGGTAAGGTGAAGGGTAGGTAAGGTGAGCAGTGTGGAGTTAGGGAACTGGAAACCGTTTGTAGCAGTTAGATTAATGTATCCGCAATGCTGAAATGCTATGAGAAGGGATGAAAGCATGCCCACGACATAGAAAATGGTGAAAGAAGTAGTAAAGGCTATCAGTGCGGAGTGTGGGAAATGTTTGTGGCAATTAGGTTAACGTTTCTAAAATACTAAAATGCTATGGAAAGTGATGAAAATAGGTCCACGATGTAGGAAGTAATAAAGTATGAACATATTGTGAGAACCGTCTGTGGCAGTTAGAATAATGTATCTTCAATCCTAAAATGCTATGGGAAGGGAAGGAAACAGGGCCCACGACGTAGGATGTGGTGAAGGAAGTATTAAAGGCTGGCAGTGCAGAGTGAGTGAACCATTTGGGCAGTTATATAAATGTATCTAATACTTAAAATGCTATGATAAGGGAAGGAAACAGGTCTATGACGTAGGGAATGGTGAAGGAAGTAGTAAGGCTTGCAGTGCAGAGTGTGGGAACTGTCTTTGGAAATTACATTAATGTATCTGCAATCCTAAAATGCTATGGGAAGAGAGGGAAACAGGTCTATGACGTAGGGTATGGTGAAGGAAGTAGTAAAGGTGGGCAGTGTTGAGTGTGGGAATGGATAAGTATCTGCAATGCTAGAATGCTATAGGAAGAGACTGGTTAAAATGATTATGAAACACGAATCGTTACATATTTCGATACGTATTCAATCGTTTACAATATAAATTTACAACTGAGTTGACAAAAGCTGAGTTTTACTCCATAGAGGCTAAAAACGAATTTTATTCCTTAAAGAGTAAAAATGCTACTTTAGACCGGCAACGCATGCATCAATGACGACTGTTTTTACTGCAGTATGACAAAAACAATATAATATGAACCCTTGATGACTCCGCTCAATTGTGTGGATGCATCTGCGAACGCCACCTAGTATTATTGACAGTGAAGAATGTTAATAAACATTCCACATCTTCAAATGTATGTTTAGTAATTAAAATATTTAATACTTTTAAGATGATTGATGATTATGCAATCTCACACCTCTTATGTCGTTTAAGGAATAATTGCATCTAATTTATATTTAAACCTCTTTTACGAATGCTTTGGTTTTCACAATACACCTTATATTGTCAATATCATACAGCTATTCACTATGTTTTTATAAGTCAGAACATTCAATAGGCCTACTCAAAACAGAATCATACACAAATCAGGTCAAACGTTGCAATACCTTTTTTATAGTAACCAAAACAAAATGCATTTTTTCAATGTAACTTATTTAGGCTCCATGGCAAGAAATAGTTTAGTAATGTCTGTAGCTTCATTTAAATGGTTTTAACTAACAGCTGTAGGAATGTTATTATTATTTATTGCCTTCTCTGCATAAATATAAACAAAATAAATGTTAAATATTTGAGGTTTTCAGCATTTTTCACCAAACAAATATTTTTTCTTAAACATAATGCTATATATGGTACCAAATAGAAACTCTCCTGATAATTTTGGTGGTGGAACCACGCTGATTGGTAAAAGAATCACAGAGAAATTGGCGAACATACATAGAAAAAAAACATCGCCACAGACAAATTGAGAACCTCCTCCTTTTGTTGGTACATAGTGGGGAAGTCGGTTAAAAATATAGGATTTATTAGGTATTGTTTAATGTCGATCTTGACGATCACCCTATGCACTCTATATTGACTTTCGTTCTGAGGTTTGTATTGCAATAACCCATGTAGAGAGAATATTGATGATGGATTTCCCCTCAGTAAGTAAACAATACAATGGATACAATACAATTGGAACATACAATGGATTTAAAGGTTAAAGATTTTTATGCTTTGAAGATTTAATTGATAGAGATTCTATTTGCCTGAAGTTGTTTCCTTAGATTAAAATTGAAATCGATTAAAAAATTAAGTTAACATTTAATTAACTATTTCCCCATCAACATTTTCCATCAACGAAGGGAACGAAGTCTTTTCGGGACAACTAGTGAGTTGTGAAACCAAAACATTTTAACAAAACAAAAAAGGACAATTTAAATAAACATTTTACCTAAACTCTCTAAACTAAAAATAATAAAATACCTTAGCTTATAGGCTTTAAGTGAAGGCATATACTTCATTTTTGTTCAAAAGAGTTTTTCATAATAACAGTTAATAGTTTTACTTTTTTTCGCTTTAATTTAAAGGTTTTAAATTGAATTATTTTAGTCGTGGACACGTGGGCTTGGGAAATGAAATAAATAGGAATTGCACGAAGAGTGAAACCGAACACTTTGCAGTCAACTCGAGTCAACACGACGCGATGTCTAATTGTCTGATCCTGGATTTCGAGGAATGAAAAATGACGGCTATTTCAAGTAGTCTCTAAACTCGATGGTTTACCTTCATCATTAAATCATTTATTCATTAACAAACGGAGTAATAATTTATTATGAATACATATTGAGAACATGATTAAAATGTTATTTTAGACCATTAAATGTAAAAAAGGTAATGCATTTTAAAATTAAATGTTTAATAATTAAACATTCAGTGAGTATTTATTATTTACCTTCAGAGTATTATTTACCTTAGATATTTTATAACCAAAGATGAAGATTCACTTATAAATCCGAATACAATCTGAATGTTATAAGGTATTTGTTTAAACCTATAAGGTATCTTAAGAAAAAACCCAACCCGGTTCAATAGTCAAACATTTTATGTTTGACTATTGAATAGTCAAAGCTAGTAGGCTACCCCGTGCTCTATTCATTTACAGTAATTTGTAGAACGGAAGGAAATTAGTATGTTTTACGGAAAGTGGCGTCTATCGCGGGGAACATTTGGTTGATGTAAGTTAAATTATTATCAACTCATAAAATAATTTAACCAAAAACGTTGCGTAGCCTAATATTAACGTAGGCCTAATATATCCAGGTTTTGCTAAGCCTAAGTGTTACAGTTTATTATTTAACTGCTTGTTTCGTAAACAATTTTCAAATAAGGTTGTTTATGGGTGATAAAACCCCAGAACTTATGAGTAAATCGTCTTAAACCTTCTCTCGTAACACAATAAACGAATGAACTTTTTTATTTGGAAGGTCAACATATTTCAAATCCGTTCTTACACGTAGACTATTTGTCTACAAATGTAATCAATTATATCAATGAAGTAGTTTTCAAAATAGCTTCGCTTTAGTATCATTATTAATCAAACTGTGGTAGTTATGTGTGTAAATGTGAAAATAGTGTAAATGTTTTGAAAAACCTGAGGATGAAATATACTTACGAGCGTGAGGTCTGAAAGTGGGCGTACATCAGAACGGTGTATGCATGTTGTGTACATGCATGTATGTGTGTGTACATGCATGTTTTGTTTGCAGTAATTCCTTTAAAATGAATCCTACTAATATTATAAATGTGAAAGTTTGTGTGTGTGTTTGTTTGTTTGTGTGTTTGAAGTTATATCACGTATTAATTACTAGATGGATTGGGCTCAAATTTGGCATGATGATAGCTCACATTCCCGATTAACATATGGGCATATTTTTATCTCAAAAATCCTTTCGGGCTCCGCCCCAGTGGCTCTAGAGTTTCCCATGTTAACCTTATGAGTACTCATATTTAAATGGAATTAAAGAATTTAGTCAGCTGTTTCAACTAAAAAGGTTGGTTCTATGATATGCAAAGGCATTGAAAGCTATAAGATTTACCAACAGGATGCAGCACTATTATTTTTTTAATTTTTGAAAACAGTTAATTTGAACCAAGCAGCAACAAAAACTGTGATACACAATGAGAACTGTCTGTTTTACAGTTATGTTTATGTTTTTAATTTCACGAATAATTTGTCATATTTTGTGAATCTTTAATTATTCATTTTTTTCTATTGTTTGGGTGAAGTGGTAGAACATTATGGCTATGGTAGATGTGTAATACTATAGTATACCGTAAATTTAAAGAAGCAAATGTTATTATACTTTTCCTCCCTCATTGCAAACGCTAAGCTTGAGTATAACTGTACTAAGCATTTTATACTTATATGCCATTTCCTTACGAAGGACGGGTACTCTGCTAGTCTATAATAGATTTGATTTTATATGTACAGTGTATGACACTCAGGCTGCTGACAGGCGAAGGTGGCTTAAGGATGCGTGTTAATGACGAGCTTAATAAGATCAGCTGGTTCCTTACCCAGGGCCGTTCATTAAAAGCCCAATCAAGCACAGCTGGGTGCAGTTTCGAACCATGAAAAAGCTTTTGGCTTTTCCTAAGATCGATTCGACTACCATATGATTAGGTCGTCTCACTAGGTGATCACTGTTCCACCTAAATATGTTATTACCTTGCTGAAGGTATTATGTAGTTACCCAACAGATGTGCTGGGATGAGGCCAGAGGAAGTGTCGAAGTCGTAAACTGTCGATAGTTTGGTCATCACATAGGAGTGAAGCTTTAGAAACAGCGGTCGAACCTCCATGTAGAGATTATCCACGACCCTCTCCAGGTCTTCCGCTTCCAGCTCGTCCCTCCACGCGGCTCCGATGTCCTCAAACCCTGCGACAAAACACTAGTCTCAATTAAACAGTGTAAGAAAGGGGATTAACCCTGTACCCACAGTGATCATCTACGCAGACACTCTGTTCACAGTCCACTTAAGTCGACCAAGTGTGAACAGAGTTGAACAGTAGCATGAGCATCGATTTTCAAATTCCTTTCCCAGCTGACGTGAGCTAGGCGATGACCGGTAAGGCTGACTTCTGAGAAACAACTTTTGTATAACCTATAAACCACACACACACACACACACTATCGGTATTCAGCCAATGAGAAGGTCTAACCCGTTTAGTCACACTTGTAGCAGTCTTATGTCTCTTACACCCTTTCACCTCTCTACAACAGCTAATAGGCTAATAGGAGTGTAACTTTAATAGGCTTTATTTTAAGAGAGGCATGGGACTCGAACAGCTATACAGTTTAGTAAACCAATCTAATCAGCCTTTCTGCACTGCATATAATGGCGAATTAAAAGAAACTAAAAAAAGTGTTTTAGTTTCTTCATCACGACTCTTAAAAAAAGTTAACTGCACTGCAACTGAGTTAGTAAACTGGAACTGGGCTGCATAGGTGAAAACCATTTTGTGATTTTCCATTCCATGCTTTAATAACCTTTAGGACCATAATATAACGACGCGAAATAATTCGCTCAGCAATGATCTAAATCCATATTTGAAATTGAGTTATCACTGTTATATCTCGCAATACGATTTAATTCCCTACTAACCGTTGTTCTTTGCTCCTATATTCATGAGATGTACCAGATTGGGGTAAACGTCTCTCGCCTTGGGTCCGATCTTGTTCCTCCACTCCACCCAGGACCACAGCAGCTCCGCAGGATCTTTGGATGTTCTCATAAGGACATCCAGCTCTGGCTCAACGTTGTAACACTCAGGATACTTTGGCCCTCGACACACCTCAGTCTCGGAGTACAGCCTCCCCATGTTCTCAGTCAGCGACATGACTTGCCTATTACATACAGCTTAATCGTCTATTAATTCTTGTCTTCGTAATAATTATATTGTTAACTTTACAAAATCGTCATATTTTTCAAACAAACACGTTACTCAAAATGGCTTAAGTGTAAAAAGCTTGGAGTGTAAAATGCATCTGATGGACTATTTTGCCATTCACGATGGAAATCAGACATTTTATAGGTAGTCAAATCAAATCAAAATATCATTTATTTCGCCAAAAATATTTACAAATTACTGTACTACATCATTTTAACAAATTACAAAATAGTTTACAACATTGTAAATTTATTTATAATATAAACATTTTCAGAAAAATATTTTTAAATTAGTCTTAGCAAAATATCTTCCACAAAAAAGAAATACTCCTGTGTGTGGAAGAGAGTATTTTTTTATGATTAAAAAAATGTATATATGAATGAAAAAGATTTGGAACGATTTAAAAGATAGTATAATCATACTTATCCATTAATCAAATGTATGGAATTGTTTGCCTTATCTCCCTATTTTGTAACCAAATTAAATTTCGATTAGGGGAATCGGTGGTTTAATCGGTTGCAAGATGAGTGCAGTAATGTACACGAAATGACAGCGATGTCGTTGGTTCGAGTCCTAGTAACCTCCACTATTTTTTTAGTACAGTTCATTCTTGCTGTGAATTGACTCATCCCTGGTTTTGATGGATATTTCCCGCGCGTGGACGGGCAAAATGCAAGAATATAGAATAAGAGACCGCCAACCTTTCAAAAATGGGTCACAACTAAATGAATACTCTAAGAGTCTAAGACATCTAAATAGGCCACAACGTTGTAGCAGCACCAACCTATTGCCGGTCGTCTGTTAATGAAACTCCAGGCTAGAAATTCTTCTTCCCATGACCCAATTCATGATTCCCGGAAGATATTTTGAAACGTATTCACATATTTAAGCAACTGTTTCCGATGTTTTCACTCACCTCGCCTGAGCCGGTGTGTATCTAGGGCCGCGACACAGCAAGTAGAGCATGCGTAGTCGCTGGTCATCGTTGGCCTGATGACGACCCACGGGTTCTCCCCGACACGCCTGGTTGTGCCACCTGGTGTAGGCCTCTATCAGCTCCTGGTGACTAGAACCTCCTATAGACTCCCCCGTGGCTGAAGCCCATTGCTGTCTAGCGCTAGCCTGATTCCACTTTAAGACCTCGGCGTTCAAAACGTCTAACTCTGGCGACTCTGATCCGTCTTCGTAAAGTGCATAGTCGACAGGAACTGTGGATGTAACAATTGGACAGATATGCAATGTTCACGTTAATAATATAAGCACAAAACATTATTTAAATGCTCGCTCATAAATAAATGCACATGAAGAAAAATGTATGGATCAAATACCGACGTAATGGCAACTCCAAAGTAAAGATTTGCTTACCTGCATAGCTGAAATTCCCATCTACATATAGAGGCAAAAACACAGTAGATCCTTTGCTAACAATAAATGAAATAACGGAGATAGTCAGCACCACAGCGAACACTGGAACAAAAAAACACAGCTCTGCTATAATTCCCTAACACGTTTTGTCTCGAGACTGCATTTGTATAAGAATAACATTTAAGATATTTATAAATAAAATTTCTTTACTGTTATTAGCTGGATCTTAGCCATAAAAAGAACGCAAATATTAAATTCATGAAATTAACTCCTCGCTAATTAATTATTAGGTAAAATCAATAACGCTTAGCAATTTAATAAGAATTAACCTTTCAGTTTGAAAAATGCCACCACCGTTGTTAAGGCAAACACTCCACGATAAAGCTTAAAATAATGTTTATAAACTTCAAATTAGCCTAAAAAACTTTTTCACGACATGCTCTCGACGAAGCTTTAACTGCCAAATATATTATATATTTACTTTATCGCTTTTATTATGCTTGCGTTTTTACTTAGTACACATAATCTTCTCCTTGGTAATTACAGTATGAATATAAATCAACTATTATTGCACGCTACTTCTTACCATGGAAAATAAAAATAATGTTAGGAATGATTAAACAGTCCGTTAATTTAATTTGATTTCGCAACATTGATGTTAAAGCTAAACTTAACCCTTTTTCATCTTCGCAGAAACCAATCTCTTTTCAGCGGCCAAAATTAATAAACAAATCAATCATTTGAGGATAAAAGGACATTTGTATATAGATAAATATTACGCCTAAATCGTAGATCTCACTATTTATTTAGTGATTAATTATCTTTATTATCTACATTTACAGTTATCTTTATTTTTTTACAAGTGACTAATTGATAAAAATTTCCGGTTAAATTCCTTTTGGTTTTAAAAAAGTTGGTGGGTACAGAATTTATTTTTTTAATAATCATATAGGTGCAAGAGAATTTTAAAACAGTATCTTTTATGATAATAGAGTTATTAAGTTAAGTTTTGTTATAAATCTTAGAGTAAATAAATAGAAGTAGACAATAGACAATAAATAGACAAATTTCTTTATTATTAATTTCTTCAAGAAATACAATATCGTCATGTTTGTTTATCTTGCTTTACAGGTATATTCTGGTCTTCTATATTTGTAAGACATTAAAAAGTTCTATGGTCGAGTAAACAGGTCCTTCCACCAGTCTAGTGCATTTCCGTTTCCTCTCATAGTTTTGATGTCTTGGGGCAGTGCATTGATGATCTTGCGGCCGATATAGGATAGTTTATTACTGAACTGCGTTGTATGGTGTGCAGGAAGACTGGCTGTTATTGAACTGCCACCAGTTTTATGGCCGTCCCGAGATACTTGAACTGCCACGATCATTAGAGCGGATTATAAGGGTCAGTTTCGTAGGGTTGTAAAACAGTTGAACTGCCACGCGGGTTCTGTAGGTAGCGAGGGAACTTTTTGAAATATTTGTCCCTCCAGTTTCCCACTTAGATACAGGATGGACTGGGAGTCAAGATTCAAGGCAACTGCGAGCAAAAAACTATGTACTTACTAGTACAAAAACACAACTTTAAGTATTAAGGATTTCCTTTTCTCATAGTTACTTCCTACTTTTTTTAACATGCTACGTGTTTATTATATTTAATTCGTGTGCCAACATGAAAAAAACTTCAATGATGTTTATATGTCAGTATATTATGTTCTATACTAATTCTAAAGTTCTGTAATTTATCACCTTTGAAATATTGAAGATACATAAGCTTTAGATTTGTTTTGGTTTTAGTTTGCTTGTTTACTTTTACTTGAGTTAACATTTTGATTCTCCCATGCATTTTTTTTAATTTCAGGGAAATGACTGTGCGTTTTTCTTATAATGTGGTATAGTGTTAACACTTTTGAATTTTGTTTTAATTATTGTTTAATTATTATTTCAGCACTGTATATTTTAAAAACACAGCAATTGATGTTGCAGAAAAATGTTGCGTATATCCTACTCTAATAATAATACTTATAATACTAGCTATGTCTGTTTGTTTGTCTGTCTGTTATTTAAACCTCCAGCGGAAGGATTTTGACTAATTTTGGAATTAGGGACTTATAGCCCTAAAACCGTGATTGGTGACAGCCACTACGTTAAGAAAATTCGTATTTTGCTACACAGCTAATTTGGAAATTCTGAAAATTAATATTAACGTTGTGAGTAATTAATGCTAGTTTGCGCAATTTTAAGCGAAAATGTTCAACATCGTTAACAAAAACATAAAATATAATTTGAAATATATAAACGGTATGATTTTTCCACCGTTTTTACTAAAGTATATTCATAAAACTATTCTCATGCGCGTTTGAATACCGGGTTCAGAGCCTAGGTTGAGACAGCTACGGATTTTTGATTGGTGTTTGGCGATCCGTAATTGCCTCCTTTATCACAAAATAGGCACACTTTGAATCGAAAATTTATCACATTCATCACACATTACAAATAAGCTATTAAATCTTATTTAGAATTTTTCAATTATATAAAACTGCCCAACAGAATATTAAATAGTACCAATATTTACATTGCCCGTTGTTTTTGTGAACTGTCACCATATCGGCTAAGAAGCTCTGGTATAAAACCAGGTTAATTTGAATCCATTACAAAATGTGCTGTCATTATACATTCTAGAACTCAATTATTGGTAATTTGACCAAATTCGTTTGTACGTTAATTCAGGTCTTTGTGTTAGCCTCATTTTGGGCCTGAAATTCCAGCCCGTACATCGACATTTTTGCGAACACTTAAGTAGGGTAAAACTCCAACTAAGCTACACAAATAATTTTTCTTGAGAGGGGTTGAAATTCCAGGCCTTACATAGTCATTTCTCTGAAATCTTAGAAATATGTAAATGGGGTAAACTTCCGGCAACCCGAAGAATTCACGCATAGTATAGACGGCGTGGTATTCAGTATACGCCTAGATTTGTACATAGCTTCACATAAGCATGCAGTAAGTAGGTAAATTTTGTTTTTGCGTAAATCCTCAACATACAATTTACATCTTTACTATTATGAATTATTTATTGATAACAAGCTTATATCAACTATGAAATGTTCAACTTTGATATTTTTATATTTATACCAGGCTTGTTTAATTCTTGGCTCTAAAATAACAACTATAAACCAACTAAAATATATAACAAACCAGTTATTTTTCAGGATTCCTTGACCTGATGAACAAAACTGATACAATACTTTCGACAAGATAGCTGTTTTTAATAAATTGTATAACCATGTTAAGAACTAATTATGACAACTTAAAAATATTTCGAAGCTAGCTTTAAATGTATTAAAGGAACCATGTTATGATTTACATTTAGTGCAATTCTCAAGTCCACAATTGTATCCACATTGTCCGTCAGTTGTAAAAATAATCACAGTTCAAAGTCTGTGATATATTTGACGTATAGTTGATAAGGGTGAAACAGATTTTTCCTACAGTCACTCAACAAAGTTGGCTTCCTTGCACTGTTTATAGTACAGAAAGCTGGTAATTGCTGCATTTACTTACTTTGTCACACGCTTTATACTTTGTCGCACGATTCATGATTTGACGCACATCGGGATTCAAACCAAACAACACAGAACAGCGTGGTTTTATTATGCACGTAATCTGGGTACGCTTGGAAATAGGTTGGCTACACTTAAATATAATAATACTATAATAACTGTACTAGAGTTATTGTAGTATGATAGCCTGTACTCATAACTACAGTTTGTTGCTTGAATTATTATTATTCCTTATATCTTAACTCTTATATTCCATCCTATATGTAAGTGGGATAATGGAGGGATAAATATTTCAAAAAGTTCCCTCGCTACCTGCAGAACCCGCGTGGCAGTTCACCTGTTTTTCATCCCTGTGAAACTGACCCTTATAATCCGCACTAATGATCGTGGCGGTTCAAGTATCTCTGGACGGGCATAAAACTCGTGGCGGTTCAATATTCCCCGGAAGACTGAAATCTGTTGCTCTTCTGGTCTGGTATGGGTGATAATCTCCATTCCTAAGAAGGTCCAGCTGGCCAATGTATAGAACAACTGCACTGGCGTAAAGTGCTATGACGGTTGGGAGCTTTAGCGACTTAACGGCTTATCTACAGCTATCTGTGGGGTCAAGGTCCATGAGAGCCCTAATAATAGCCTTCTTCTGAATTACTAGGATTTTTTAGGTTGGTTTCAGATATCCCTCCCCATGATATCAATCCATACCTGAGATGGGACTCCACCAAAGCAAAATATGCTGTCTTAGCTGCTTGCATGCCTGCAGTCCATGTCACCCTTTTCACCACATGGATTCCAGATAAAAGATGCTTACTTAAGTGGTTTATATGGTCTATCCAGGAGAGATCAGCATCAATAGTAACACCCACCAGTTTGGACTTTTTCAAGTGAAATATCAGGCGTTTCAGGTATGTGCCCCAGTCTTCTGCTAAAATTACTCTGTATCGTCTTAGAGGGGTTTATAGCTAAGTTATTTTTTGGCAATACTGACTTTTCTTTGTTGATAACTGTTCATTCTTTGTCATTTCTGTTTCCTCTCATAGTTTTGATGTCTTGGGGCAGTGCATTGATGATCTGGCGGCCGATATAGGATAGTTTATTACTGAACTGCGTTGTATGGTGTGCAGGAAGACTGAAATCTGTTGCTCTTCTGGTCTGGTATGGGTGATAATCTCCATTCCTAAGAAGGTCCAGCTGGCCAATGTATAGAACAACTGCACTGGCGTAAAGTGCTATGACGGTTGGGAGCTTTAGCGACTTAACGGCTTATCTACAGCTATCTGTGGGGCCAAGGTCCATGAGAGCCCTAATAATAGCCTTCTTCTGAATTACTAGGATTTTTTAGGTTGGTTTCAGATATCCCTCCCCATGATATCAATCCATACCTGAGATGGGACTCCACCAAAGCAAAATATGCTGTCTTAGCTGCTTGCATGCCTGCAGTCCATGTCACCCTTTTCACCACATGGATTCCAGATAAAAGATGCTTACTTAAGTGGTTTATATGGTCTATCCAGGAGAGATCAGCATCAATAGTAACACCCACCAGTTTGGACTTTTTCAAGTGAAATATCAGGCGTTTCAGGTATGTGCCCCAGTCTTCTGCTAAAATTACTCTGTATCGTCTTAGAGGGGTTTATAGCTAAGTTATTTTTTGGCAATACTGACTTTTCTTTGTTGATAACAGAATATCTTAATGTCGTTCTTGTGCTCTGTCATTTCTAAACAGTCGTGTTGTGTCATCTGCGTACGGTTTTGACGTTGTTGTCATTTATAAAACCAGGAAAGTCATTCGTAAAAAGGATGAAAAGAAAAGGTCCCAGGACAGAGCCCTGTGGTACTCCTCTATTCATTGTCAATCTCTATTCACATCTAATCTTGTTTTGATTAAAAAACTGAACTGCTGGCCAGTAACAGTATAACAGCCAACTGTAACTCCGTTCACAAAATGTAGGCAAATTTAGGGGGAAAAATCAATCCCCTCCACTTGACCCAGGCAACAACCCAACAAACATTTTATTCAACCCGTCTATCAGCTGTAACATACATTAGCCAAAAAGGTAGGCCTAAAAAGTTTGGACTTTAACACTTGTATCTCCTTCTAAGTAGTCGCCATAAAAAGCCACACTCTTGTTCCAGTTTCTCTACCACTCCTTGAAGACCTGTTCAAAACTCTCCTTAAACATAAACCTTCAAAATCGCCTATAAAATCTTAACAGCTGCAGTAGCAGATAGGGAACGCTGGCCTTTCACTCCTTTTTGGCTGAGACTACAGACAAAAAGTCATTTGGAGCCAGATCAGGGATTAAGGGTGGGTGTAGCACAGTTTCGATTTCTTTTTTGGCAAGAAACTGAAGCACGGCATTGGCAACATGGGGCGAGCATTGTCGTTATGCAGTTTCGAGCGTCTGCTGACGAGGTCTGACTGCTTTTTTTATGATGTGGTCTTGGATTATTTGTTTCAATACTAAAATGTAGTACTCCCCATTTAATTGTCTGACCCTGTGGTACAGTATACACCATACCATGATAATCAAAGAACGCAATTACCATTGCTTTTGGCGTCGGTCCACCTTCCAACTCACATGATTCCCATCCATCTTTAAAGTCTTTATGTCACCTAAAACAGGTTCTTTCACTCATGTTATCACTACCCTGTATGTAACCGTAGCTCTTTTCCTCAGTTTTACACAAAACTGTATTGCATATCTGCTCATGGAAATCACCCATAGTAAACTTTAGAGGCAAAAATTTGCGACTGTTTACTAATCGCTTGCCATGACAACAATAATATGCTATAATGTTAACAGCTGATTTGGTTGTTGCTAAATACTTCAATGTTTCATATCAACTTGAAAAAAACGAATTTTTGTACTTCGTTTGTTTGAATGAACACTACTGCCAGTCTTTATTGAACACCCCTCGTAATTGGAATTTTATTATGGTTAATTTAATTGTCCTCGGTCACTCTAATATCGTAATGTCGTCGGCTTGAGTGGTTATTTAATGAAATGCGAATATAAATATGTTTATTTTTTAAGTGTTATTATAAGCAAACTTACCATATAGGGAATACGCTATTACCGTAGGTCTCATGGTAAGACCTGGACCCAAGACCAATTTAATCTTTCGTTTTGAGGTCGCCAGAGGTAAAAATCACCCTCCGTTCAAACTCATATAAGCTCAGAGTAATAATACTGTAAGATATGTGTGTCCGTTAGCGAAAAATTATCCGATTTTGATGAAATTTGCAACAAAAGTTTAAACTTACGTTTATTAGAATGATTTCACAAACCAGCATGATCGGACTATGGGAACGGGGGTTTATGGGGTGTGTGTTGTGGGGTAAAAATTGGGGTTTCACATTTTTGACCATAAAAACAAAAGTATACACAATCTATGGTATTAAAAGAATTTGTTGGATTTTTGTATTCAGCAAATCGACCCCTAAATAGGTATCATCATTTGTTAAGGTATATTGGGTATCAATTTAAATCTCTTGCTCTTATACGTGCTTTTTGTGGGCTTGGATGATATCCCGTACGATGCTTTATATTTTAGACGTGTTCAATTTGGAAAAAATAATTACAAAGTTGTGTTCAGGGGTTGCTTAAAAAATTACAAGTCAGTGATAAGTTATAGTGATTATCTGGTTAAAAAAATATATAATTTTCAACTTAACTCAGAGCAGTAGAAAATTGTAAATTATCTCAAAATATCACTGATTTTGAAGTCAAGAAACGACGCTGGCTGCTAGTATCTTTTAAACCATTTTGCAGAACTAAAAACATGATCTAGTAAATTGAAGCGTTGTTATATGCCTAGCGGTTATGAAGAAAATTTAAAAATAGTGTTAATAAAAAATGTCTAGGCCTATGTTATTTTAATGGAGAACATATAAACGGTTGTAGTTTGCTTGTTTAGGGATACATTTTAATGCAATAAGAAATAAATATGACCATTTTAAGGGAACATTTTAGAGGAAATATAGCCAGGTTAATGTAAATTTTTTTACTGCGGGTTTGCTGCGACGGGTATATTTAAAAATTAACAGAGTGATATTCACAGTAAAGATTCTCACATTAGGTAAAAAAATGTACCAATTGTTTTACAGTAAACTGAGATACAGTCGCTCATTTTACTGACCGTTCTGGTTTAACGACTTATTATGGTTCCATTCGAAATTTAGCTCAGTGGAAAAAACTAGATTCTCTTTGTTATTCTAAAACAATTCACCAAAAACAAATCTTTCGTTTTTATTTTTTATGCTACAAATCTGTAAATATTTTGTGCTTTTTCATCGGACCAATATACTGTATTAACGTGTTGAAAGCGATACTTATATAGCCGGGATATAACTAAATAATAGGGGTTTGTATTTTTTGAAGATGCACAATTTCACTAAGTCCCTGCGGACTTAGTGAAATTTTTATGCTTTTTGCTCTGCTATAAAATTACTACGTTAAAAACATAGGCAAAAATACAAGACCCTATTATTTAGTTATTTAGCAGTTCTTTAACCTTTTTAAAACCTATAACTATTAATTTATTTCCCTGTGTCTATCAGCAATAAAGCTGTATAATCTTGTAAGGTATCCGGAACTCAAAAGATTGACCAGTATACATAAATAGATTTCTAAAAAACTATTGCATATAATTTAGTTGTAATCAAAATTTCTACTGAACTCTTTTGTTTGGTTCTTCTTATGTCGTTTTTACTTACTTGGAGACCGGGCAGATGTTGGCTGAGTGGAAGTCAGTTGAAACTGAAAGCTTTCAGAATCAGCTGATCACCTAGACAACGAAGTCCTGCGCAGCGTGGTGGGACCGCACCATCAGAATCTAACACCGTCAAACTCCAGGGAAATGTTATTTTTAGTAATCCAGTACCAGTAATTTAAAAATAAATGCAATTTACGATAGCGGCATTGCATATTCAACAGTTTATGGAGGAAACCATTCGTCTCGAGGATGTAATACCGTACCGGTTCACCTTCAAACAAATCAACATTAACAAAATCATCTATTATGACAGTAATTAACATCCTTTAGTGTTTAGTATTTAGAAGAATATTTATTTTATATTAAAAACAAATGGTAATGCCAAACACCAAAGCCACAGAACCCAAGTCCATTTTATCTTCAGACAACAATCTTATCGCTATTCATGTCATTGTCCTTATCGTTTGTCGTTCGCTTCAGACAGGTATCCTGGTCATTCTCTCTCTGTCCACGGCCCTATTAATATGGTCTAGTACCGGCCACCTCTTTTAATCTAATTTCCATTTACATTATTTCATCAAGTTGTTTCAGTTTTCATTTTTATTGCAATTAATATTGCCCAATCTTATTCTGAAGTCATTTTGGTTGTTTTAGTGACAAGTAGTATTTTTATTTGCGTTTTATTAACTCACGAATCATGCACCATCAAGTAATCAAAGTGTCCTGTGCGGTGTCGCGACTTCCGTGTAATTAAAGTGGCCACGAACAATAAAAGACTTAGCGTTACGTGCGAACATCAAGCAGAAAGAAGAGCGAAAATCGTCTCATCCAACATCCAACTACCAAGGGTTCGTCACAGCGCCGACACTAATCTGAAGTTCAAATACGCCATCTTTCCCACTTCCCCCTACGTCTGCACTGGAGTTTGTAAAGGTGCATGTTCTCAAGTTTCTTATTATTTTCCGCAATGTAATATGCGGTGGTCCTTCGTAATTTACCTATGAATAATCACTTTTAATATTCAAGTTAAGATAAATAATACACTCATACGTAACATTTGGTCATTTCGAGCCATATCATTTTCCAGTTTTATGGAAATATATCCATTGCTCATTTCCGCCATTTTGAATCTCTCTTTCTCTTTCTGACTGACATTCTGTCATTCTGTCCAGTCAGTGACGTCAGTCCGTCAGTGTTCATGTCCATGTCATGTTTTAAATCATACCACTCGGCGCATGCGCGCACATAACCTGTTCCAGCTCAGCCAATCATATTGTCACAACAATATTCCCAGTGTGCATTACATGCAATATTAGTTCTCTAACTCTCCGCGTCTTGCATAGGCGCTGCTTTGCAGCTGTTTCGGCAAACTCCAATATTTTCTGCAACGATCAGCTGATCGTTAACTGTCATTATCTTGTTTGTTTACATTTTCATTTTGCCGACCAAACTTCAACTTCAAAGTGGCAGTGGTTAGTTTGGCATTATTTTTACTTTATGTAGTGGACATATAAAGTGAAATGTATTTTAGTTAATGGGTTGAGAATATTTTCTACTTTTTCAACTTAAAGTGTTACATAATAAAATTGAATAATATATACAAGAAGAAAATGGACTTTCTGCTGATTGTTTTGAATAATGAAATACTGTCATGTTTTGGACTGTGGCTGTAAGTAGGCCTATTTACTGAAATATAACTAATTATTCCAAGTTTAAATAGTTAGGCCTACAGTACTACACTTGGACAACTTTATTATATTTTTATCATCATAGCCTATGCTTTATTATTTTATAAAGACAAACCAAGCTGGTTATTTACTGGTTCATGAACCTAACCTTCAGTGCTCACTAAGATATAGCAATTTATTAATATTTACTCTCAATTTTTGGAAATAGGCCTAAATTAAGGTTAAAGCAGAAGATAGCTAGACAACCATGGCTACCTCTATTGCTGTTGTAAAGGCAAGAAAGGATAATGCCTTCACTCAAATTCAGATGATATATGATTGGTCCAAGAAAGTGTCTGATAAGGATATTCAACAAAGGTTTTTGATTCGGGCTAAGTCTGTAAATAAACTCCGAGATGATTTCTCTGAGGCTTTAGATGCCTGCCATGAACTTGAATTAGCAAAAGATCCTAACTTTCAACCCAACTATGCTCCTCTGAATAGTGTTGATGAATTAATTGACTACATTAATGCCAATGTTGCCAACCTTGAAAGTAAACTTCAATCCTCAAAAAATAAGAGTGATAAGACTCCGACTCCACAACCTGCGGTTGTACGCTTACCCAAGCTTGAACTTAAACATTTCAGTGGTGAACCTCTGGAGTGGGTGTCCTTTATAAATTTGTTTGATTCTAGCATTCATAAAAACTCATCTTTGTCTGATGTGGTGAAATTTCAGTATTTATTAGGCATTGTTTCGTTTCTGGGGAACCCTTGAATTTAATTAAATCCCTGCCTATTTCTGATGCAAACTACACAGTAGCCTATGATTTGTTGAAAGAGCGGTATCATTCGCCTAGACGATTAGTTACTCTGCACTTAAATCAGATTCTTGACTTACCCTCAGTAAATCACACCTCAAAACAAATGAGAAAATTTGTAAATTTATATAATGAAAACATTCAAGCACTCAAAGGCTTAAATAGTGAAATTGCTAAAAAAAAATCACCTTTTGTCTGCCATGCTTTTGAGAAAACTGGATAGTGATTTAAGGAAACGATTTGAGATTTTTCGTGCAATTAATAATCCCACTGACAGTGATGGTGATAACCCTGCCTTACCTAATGTGACTGAGTTAATTCAGTTTCTCACTAAAGAATGTAATCAAATTGAAGAAGCAAACCTCCACAGCAGTCATAATGTGAAAACAACATCTGATAATTCATATATAAACTCAAGATTCAACAAATCATCGGTAGGTAATAAGGTGTCTATGCTGACTTATCATTCTGTTGATCAAAGCAAATCCTACCCTAAGTACACTAAATGTTTTGTATGCAACAAAATTGATCATAATGTGTATACATGCTCGGTCTTTAAAGATAAGGATCCTAAGGCCCGTTACCAGATCGTAAAGGAGAATAAGCGGTGCACATCGTGTTTAGGGAATCATCTACTGAGTGACTGTAAATCTAAGTCGAGCTGTTACACATGCCATCAGAATCATCATACTTTATTACATTTTTATGGTAAACCTCGTCAATCATCTAACCAGGCTACGCCTCAGACTTCAACTCGTGATTCTTCCTCAGCTCATCAAGAAAATTCATCATCTCAAGTCTCATCGGCCCTGACTAGTCAAGAAAGATGTTCCACAACACATCATCCCTCAACAGTGTTGTTGGGCACTTTACTTGTGAAGCTGGTATCGCCCACCGGAGTTAGCCATGTATTTCGAGCTCTCGCTGACTCTGGTAGTCAATCATGTTTTCTCACAGAACATGCTGCTCAACTTTTATGTGTCTCACGCACAAAAAGTGCGCCTAGTGTAGTAGGCCTCTCTCAAATACCTACTCGATGTAAAGGTGCCACTTCTCACAAGGTAGAGACATTGAATGGAAAAACTATCTCTACTGACTCAAACTTTTTAATTCTTGATAAAATATGTGTTGATTTACCCCACATGCCAATATCCGCATGGTATATTCTTACGTTTTGGCTGATCCCATGTTCCATTTACCTGGTGGGATTGATGTTCTTTTAGGTGGATCACTTTTCCCTCTCATGCTCACTCAAGCAGTTCACAACCTCGGGCCTAACCTACCAAGTTTAATAGGCTCACACTTTGGATTTTTGGTAATGGGTGACGCACCCTGTGCAATCAAGCTTGATGATGACACTAGCTCTCACATGTCAACCATGCTTTTGGCAGTCAATGACATTGAACTGCACAATTCTATCCAGCGGTTTTGGCACCAGGAAGAGCCACCAGTCGCATCGAAGCAATCAGATGAAGATAAAATGTGTGAAGAACACTTCCTCTCCACTCACTCTCGGGACCAATCTGGCAGATATTGCGTCCGACTACCGTTCAAGACTGAACACCCTGCTCTAGGAAATTCTGTCTTTGCTGCTGAGAAAAGACTACACGCACTTCAGAAAAAGTTTAAGGCTCAACCTCAATTCAAATCTCTATATTTCGACTTCATGTCTGATTATTCGTCTTCGGATCATATGGAACTTGCTCATAATGTTGACTTATCTTCCCCGCATTACTATTTACCTCATCATGGGGTGTTGAAGGAATCAAGCAGTACCACTAAACTACGTACTGTGTTCGATGCTAGTGCAAAAACCTCCAATGGTACATCTCTCAATGATATTTTGCTTACAGGAAGAAAAATGCAAACCAACATTTGTGACTTGTTGCTCATGTTTAGAACTCATAGTGTAGTTTTTTCATGTGATATAAGGCAGATGTACAGACAGATTAAAGTCCATCCTGAGGACCAGAAGTTTCAGTATATCCTATGGCATACTCGTCCAGATCAACCACCCTCTACCTTCAGACTTACCACAGTAACCTATGGAGTCAATTGCTCACCGTACCTCGCAATCAGGACTTTGCACCAACTTGCCAATGATGAAAGCGACTCGTTCCCTGAAGCGGCAGAGATTCTTCGAATACAAACCTTCGTTGACGATGTGATTTCTGGTGGAGATTCCGAAGAAGAAGCTTTGAGACTCCAGAGACAACTCATCGCCCTATTAGCACGTGGAGGCTTTGAGCTAAGGAAATGGACTTCCAACTCCAGTCGACTTCTTCTAGATCTTCCAGATGGTCATCGAGAGACTCCGGTGTTCCTTCAAGATAGTTCACAGCCTCATCACACCATTTTAGGCATTCACTGGTCTCCAGTTACTGACTGTTTTACATACAATTTTAATTTTTCCGCAAGCGCAACTACAAAGCGTCAGGTGCCCAGTGTGATTGCACAAATATATGACCCCTGTGGTTTCCTCTCCCCAATTGTGATGTGGGCAAAACGTTTTATGCAGCTCTTGTGGACCAAAGGATTGGATTGGGATCAAACACTTCCCGCTGCCCTACTCGAAATGTGGCAAAGTTTCACTTCATCTACAGACAGCCTGCGAGAGATTTCAATTCCTCGAGCTTTTCAAGTGTCACGAGCATGCACTACTGCATTACATGGCTTCTCAGATGCCTCCGAGAATGGTTATGCTGCAGTTGTTTACTTGCGCTGTGAACTCAGTGATGGGACTGTCACAATCAGGCAGATTATGTCAAAGACTCGGGTTGCTCCCTTGAAAAACTTACAATTCCACGCTTGGAACTATGCGCCGCCCATCTTCTTGCCCAGATAGTAGCCTATGTGGTTTCTATTTACAAGATAAAATAAAAGATTTCATCCATCATTCTCTGGTGTGACTCTACTATCACCCTAACTTGGCTGCAGACACCACCTCATCGATTGAAGACCTTTGTTGGGAACAGGGTTACGCAGGTGCAAGAATTAGTACCTAATCATTGCTGGCGACACATATCCAGTGAATATAACCCCGCTGACTGCGCGTCACGAGGTATCCTCCCATCAGAATTGTCTAACCACGAACTTTGGTGGTCTGGTCCCCCATGGCTTCATCCGAGTGAATATTCGAGTGAATCTTGGCCATCCTCAAACTTTACTCCTCTAGATATTACAAAAACAGGAGAAGATAAACCTCAGTCACCTACCACTCTGATATCTACGATTAAACCCACTCAAGAATGGGAACTCCTCACTAGATTTTCTCACTTCGGCAAACTTACACGAGTGATGGGTTATATTTTACGATTCATCTATAACCTCCGGCACTCGAAAAGGTGCTCAGGCCCTCTCACCTCATCTGAGTTAACTCAAAGTCGACTGACAATCTTCAAGAAGGTTCAAGAAACGGTTTTTGGAGATGACATTACAGCGTTGAAGAACAACTCATCTAAAACCACTTCATCACTTCGGCGTCTCCATCCTTTCATTGATAAATCAGGTTTACTTCGTGTTGATGGACGACTGAATGCATCTCAACTTTCAGAAGACGTTAAGCATCCTATAATTCTACCAAAGAAACATCATGTGGTTGACATTCTTATTGATTTCTATCACAAGAAATATTTGCATTCAGGGCCTCAATTAACTCAATCCCTTCTAGCTCAGAGCGTTTGGATTCTTTCTGCCCGCAGTGCAATACGCTCTCGAATTTTTAAGTGTGTTGTCTGCTTTCGACACAAACCACATAATACAATTCCACTGATGGGTGATCTCCCAAAACCCCGAGTGACACCTTCCCGTCCATTTCTCAACACGGGGCTGGACTACGGTGGTCCTTTCAACATCAAGGTACAAACCTCCGTTCAATACGTTTGACAAAAGCGTACATCTGTACCTTCGTCTGCCTTGCAACAAAGGCTGTTCACATTGAAGTAGCTACTGACCTATCAACTGATGCCTTCATTGCTGCACTAACTCGTTTTGTGTCAAGACGTGGCCTCTGCAAGAACATATATTCGGACTGCGGGACAAACTTCGTTGGTGCTAATAACGCCTTTCAAGCTCTCTTCAAGTCAGCTGAACGAACATCTCTTCTTGAATTTTCCTCAAACCAAGACATTACCTTCCATTTCAACCCCCCAGCTGCTCCTCACCAAGGTGGTCTCTGGGAAGGAGAAGGAGCCGTTAAGAGTGCCAAGCATCACCTCCGCCGTTTCATCGGCGAACATGTCCTAACCCTCTCAGAGTTCATGACCCTGACTACTCAAGTGGAGGCGATACTTAATTCGAGACCTCTCACACCAATGTCAAACGACCCTTCAGATGTCACTGCGCTCACTCCAGGACATTTCTTGGTCGGAGCTCCACTTGTCTCTGTTCCTGATGAAAATCTGGAAGAGGTTCCTGATAATCGCCTGAAACACTGGCATTTGGTCAAGGCCCTAAATCAACGCATCTGGAAGAGATGGCAACTGGAGTACATTCACACCCTTCATCAGCGTGTTAAATGGAATGAGCAAAATACCAATCTTCGCATTGGTGACCTCGCCTTAGTACATCAGCCTACTCCTCCTCTTTCTTGGCCGTTAGCTCGGATTGTAGGTGTCTCCCCTGGAAAGGATGAGGCTGTACGGGTCGTCCACTTGAAAACTCAACAAGGACTCTTGACTCGACCAGCTCACAAGGTTTTTCCTTTGCCTGCTTATCAAGAGTAACTTCAAGAAATTTAATTTGTAAATAGTATTTTCTCTCAACCACTTTGGAAAGAAGATTTATTTTATTGGAATATTATCTTTGTGTTGATTTGTTGAATCCTGGAGGATTCAAGGCCCCCTGTATGTTTAGTATTTAGAAGAAAATTTATTTTATATTAAAAACAAATGGTAATGCCAAACACCAAAGCCACAGAACCCAAGTCCATTTTATCTTCAGACAACAATCTTATCGCTATTCATGTCATTGTCCTTATCGTTTGTCGTTCGCTTCAGACAGGTATCCTGGTCATTCTCTCTCTGTCCACGGCCCTATTAATATGGTCTAGTACCGGCCACCTCTTTTAATCTAATTTCCATTAACATTATTTCATCAAGTTGTTTCAGTTTTCATTTTTATTGCAATTAATATTGCCCAATCTTATTCTGAAGTCATTTTGGTTGTTTTAGTGACAAGTAGTATTTTTATTTGCGTTTTATTAACTCACGAATCATGCACCATCAAGTAATCAAAGTGTCCTGTGCGGTGTCGCGACTTCCGTGTAATTAAAGTGGCCACGAACAATAAAAGACTTAGCGTTACGTGCGAACATCAAGCAGAAAGAAGAGCGAAAATCGTCTCATCCAACATCCAACTACCAAGGGTTCGTCACAGCGCCGACACTAATCTGAAGTTCAAATACGCCATCTTTCCCACTTCCCCCTACGTCTGCACTGGAGTTTGTAAAGGTACATGTTTTCAAATTTCTTATTATTTTCCGCAATGTAATATGCGGTGGTCCTTCGTAATTTACCTATGAATAATCACTTTTAATATTCAAGTTAAGATAAATAATACACTCATACGTAACATTTAGTGACATTCATTGACTAATTAAAATACAAACACATTCAATTATTGGAACGCCGTTCACATGATTATGATTTGATTATTGATATTAAAATTTCTTAGATTACCACTGAATTATTCTTATAAGAAACAATGCGGTCTCCTATTTTATGATTTTGAAATGGATCTACTGGAAAAAGTTTGTTAAAAAATTTAAATTTGAATCCTCATTCAGAACACATACTACTTTCTTTGGTAAGCGAATTGAGAATTCTATCAGCAAGTTTCCCCAGTATAGATATTTACCAAACAGGAGACTGATGAAGACTTTAAATGATTTGAATTTTAAAAAATGGTGACCTGGTTGGGAAAAACAATGAACTGTTTTCTAAAGTTTTCGATCTTACATCACATATAAGTTTGTTAACAGCCCAACAGAAAAATTAACTTAATGAATCTTTTAAATTACAAGACTCAATTGTTGAGGAAATGACACTTTGACTCGTGAACTTAACTTAAGTAAGATTAAAGTTACTAAGAAAGTTTAAAACTATAAGAAAAGAGAACGAAGTTTTAAAGAATTCAAGTTGTAGCTTAAGCTTAGTGTGAAACATTGACGATCAAAATAAAAGTTAAACTCCTTAAAGACAGTAGTACTGTAGTGGCAATAGGGCAAAGAGACGACGCTTTAGGCGTTTTTTCCCATAAGAATAACATGGGGATCATTTTTTAGCCACTTTTTCAAAAATCCTGATCTTTGCCTATACAAGCTTATATAAATGTTCAATACCATTGTACAACTTCATTACTATTTCAAATCCACATTCAATCGCATGTATATTCTCAAAATTGAATGAGGTTTGCTCGCGAACTCGTGCGCGCTCCCGGCTCATGGCGCGCTCCCTTGGACATCCTAAGTGGAAATCCATGAATTCTGACTACTTGGGAACCCAAGATATTTGACATACAATAAATCACCCTTTCTCCTAATTACCTTTTCTACTAAATACATGTCTTTATACTTGGTCTTTAACAACTCCTCTGTATAGAAGCCTCCCCTGATTATATTACCATTTTCATCTTTCAAGATATAAGTCACAGGCTTTGTATTCTTTACTTCTGCTATTGTAAATAGTTCCCCTGTCCAATTCGGAGTATAACCTTTACTAAAAACATGTTTATACTTGGAAATCCTCACACTATCACCTACCTTATATCTTGGCTTTTTAACTTGCACTACTTTAGAAGTCAACCTCTCATGCACATATTTACTATTCTTAATACTCACTTGGTTAGGCTTCATTCCTATAGATCTACGCACCTTATTATTATATTTTCGAATTAACTTTGGAAGTAAATCCAACCATTTATAACTCCCCTGAGTACTAAATTCCCTATATAACCAATTCTTTAAAGTTCTCTGAAACCTCTCCACAATTGCAGCCTTAGTTGTAGAAAAAGTGTGATAGTGATTAATATTTAATTTTTTCATTAGTTTGCTAAAATATTGATTAAAAAATTCTTTTCCATTGTCGGATTGAATGTTTTTAACCCCCTTTGGTAGAATGGTTTTAATGGCTTCTGTAACCACCAACCCTGTCTTATTCTTTAGTGGAGCAGCATAAGCTTTTTTTAGAAAATGTATCTATTAAAGTTAAAATATATTTATTGCCAGAATTTTCTTTAGCATAGTTTTGCATATCAATTAAATCTATTTGTACGGTTTCGTTTATACCTAATACTTTAAAAGATCTTCTAATGAAATTCTTTCTTGCAGGCTTATGAAGTTCGTATGCAATTTCATTCATTTTTTATAACATTACTCTTTCCTTTAACTGTAAATATATTACCATTAGCCCCAATCAATAGATTATCTTCCATTCTTTAAAATACATATTTTTCTGGTATATATGGTCTATTATCTATATACTTAAATCCACTCAAAGATGTGGGGTCAGCAACTAATAAATCAGGATTGTATTCCATCAAATTAAATTTTCTTCCTGCATATACAAATTTTGATCCATCATAATACATAGCTTGTGACATTAAACAAATATCATCTAAATATTCCCCCATTGGTAGATTTCTTATATATTGTTTTTTGGCATCCCAACATTTTTCTTTTTTATCAAAAGTTATAGTCTGTTCTTTTGTAACACAGTCACTGTCATCAATGGCAGGTTTAACACGTACTAACCTTTTATTATTAAAATCCCAATAGCCTGCTTCCATTTTTGGAACTTGTGAAACATTCACAGCATCTTTACTATCTATACCTTCCATCAAATTGCTAAGTTTCTGTTTCTTAGCATTCCAAACACCATTCTCTGATTCTAAAAATTCATAATTATTATCGTCTTGTACAAATTTACCATCTTCTTTTCGTATTAAAGTATGTTGTAAAGTGGGCACATCATTTAAACTTTCACCCTTTTCCACATTAGTAATTTTCCGCTTCTTAGCATTCCAAACACCATTTTCTGATTCTAAAAATGCATAATTATTATTGTCTTGTACAAATGTACCACCATCTTTACGTATTAAAGTCTGTTGTAAAGTGGGCACATCATCTAAACTTTCACCCTTTTCCACATAAGTAATTTTCTGTTTTTTAGCATTCCAATTTTTATTCTTAGATTCTGAAAACTCATATTTCGTTTTACCTTGTAAAAAGACATCACCTTTTCTAGTTAATGTCTGTCCCAAAGTTGATACATCATCTACAAACTCCCCATCTTTAACATTACCAATTTTACGGTTTAAACAATTCCAACTATCGTCTTGTAAATTTAAAGTATGTTCACTACTAGCCCTGGGTTCTGCAGGCTTATTATATGGATTATATAAACGATAAAATTTTATCTATAAACATATCTATAATATTAAAACGAAACAGTGTTTTTTTATTTCACGATTCTGAATCAACCACTCGACGGATTTTCGTGATTTTTGTGTTGAAAGAAAGATAATTTTGAGAACTAGGGAATGTCGAAGCCATAATTTTAGTTTAAGGTCCCAGTTTTTTAGAAATTAAGTTTTAATTTTTAAAAAGTCTAGCAGCCGACGCTAAGATTCTAAACTAGCTTTTGGCATAAAATAATTTGCTTAACATAACAGCTGTAAACATTCAGCTTTTGTGTCACAAATTCAGCATTTGGATAAAAATGTAAAGACATACTTAGGGTTGACTTATTTATACTATGTGTAATGCTAATCATTGATACGTTCAATTCTTCTGTAAGAGGATGACAGATTATTTAAATATACATAGTAAAATACTAGGATGTTTAAAGGATTTTTTAAATAAATCTTTGCAATCTTCGGTTTGTTTTAGTGCAATGTAATTTTCTTTTAACAGCTGGTTAAATATAAAAATGCTCTATAAAACTATGAGGTTATTTTATTTACTCTGATTTTGTCATTGATTATAGGAAATAATTCAGATTAGTAGACCACCGAGATAAGTAACACCATCGATGTATACAAGTCGAGGCTCTGTACATGAGTCTTAAAAAGAGGATATCCCTATTAATTTACTGCTCAACTTTTTTAGGAAAAGGTAGGAAAATCGATTTTTTACAAGTGTTAATTCATCTTGGTTTGTTTACAATCAATCAATCAATATTTTTCAATGCGTATACTTTGTTTGGATTAGGCCCGGAAATATTTATGTCATAAAGAAGGAGATCAAGAATCTTCAGGAATATGTTTTTAAATTACCACCACAACCTCAGACGGGTTTTATCCAAAGATATATAGATGAACAAAATAATATATGAACAAAGATATATAGATTGACCTAGGATACTGCAATTAGACTAACCATCCTTTTATGAAATCTAAAAAGTTGTTTGGCGTGTGTTTAGTTGTGGTCAAGTTTGGAGGCTTTGAATATTTTTTTAGTTTAAATAAATGAATATGGGGAATTACGGTGTGCATTGATTCAATGAGGGTGGTTTAATTATTAATGATAGAACTGATAACGGAATGGATAATAAACATAGACAATTGATTACGTCACTAGCTTTACTAGCGTGTTTACGTTTTAAATTTCTTCAACATGTGACCAGTTCTTTTGTTCAAATGAATATTATTTTATTTTTGACTCAGCTGTGTACAAAAACACACTATATGTTGTTGTTTTTACTTTTCTTTGTTTACACTTATTTAT